CGCTGCTGCTGCGGGACCCCGCTGCACCTTCTCGCTGCTGTTCCTGCTGCTGCTGCTGCTGCTGCTGCTGCTGCTGTTGCTGTTGCTGTTGCTGTTGCTGTTGGCCAGGCGAGGGCCCCCCCGGGAGCTGCGGGTGGCCCCAGATGTCGGGCCCCCCTTGGGAGGCCTCCCCGGAGTTGCTGCTGCTGCAGCCGGCGCTGCTGCTGCAGCTCCTGCAGGCGCAGCAGCAGCAGCAGCAGCAGCAGCAGCAGCAGTGCTGCTGCTGCTCGGAGTTGAGGAGCTGAAGGCCTCAGGGGGGCCCCCAATTCCCCCTTTAGGGCCACTAGAAAGGCTCGCGGGGGGCCCCTGGGGGGCCCCCAAAGAGGGTTCAGAAGAGGCCATGGGGGCTGAGTTGGGGTGTATGTACAGCTCGGGGTGTACAGGCAGCTGCTGAGCAAAACCCGAAAAAAGAGTTGCTGCAGCTTCCAGGTGTACGTACACCTCAGTCTGCAGTGTCTAGACTGGCCTTTTTAACAAACAAATGAAAGCAGCAAAAGGAAAGAAAGAAGTCATTCAATGTTACGGTTTAGGGTTTAGGGTTTAGGGTTTAGGGTTTAGGGTTTAGGGTTTAGCGGTGGCCGCTGCAGTGTCAGTTGGCGCGCAGGCCTGCGGGGGGGCTGAACTCGGCGAAAAGGAACTTATTTGCAAAGCAAAAGAAAAAAAAAGAAAAAAAAGATAAAAAGAAACAAAAAGAAAAACAAATGAATTGGAACGGCAAATAAATCCCGAAAGGGTTTCCGCGCGCTGCAGGAGCCCGCCGCCGAGGTGTACGTACACCCCGCGCTGGTGACCACTGGTCCACAACTGCAAAAATCCAAAAATCCAAAAGAGCTCCTTTTTGGAGAAAAAAGAAATAAATAATTTTCTTCTTTTCCTAAATGAAATAATTCGCCGCCAATTGGCGCATTGGCGGCGGCAGAGGCGCAGCGGCGCACAAACCCCAAACCCCAACACCCCGGAGTGACCCTGGGGCGGGGGTTTAGGGTTTAGGGTTTAGGGTTTGCGGTTTGCGGTTTGCGCCTCTGAAACCCCCGATTTTTCATTAATTTCACTTTTAATTTCAATTTTTTTAATCGAATTTACTATAATTTTGCCAGATGGCGGAAAGAGAGCAGCAAAAACACTAGTACTGCTGTCGCTCCGCTCTCAGGGGCCCCCAAACCCTAATTTAGGGTTTACGCAGCTCTCTCGGACCCTTTTCTTTCCTTTTTAACTCCAAAATCGTTTTTTGAATTATTTTTTAAATTTATTTTTCATTTTTTGAAATTTCTTTCCCCTGAACTGCCCACAGTCGCTTTTTTCTTCTTTTTGCCCCATTTGGCTTTGAAGGCTCCAATTTTTTTCGAATTAAGAACGCAAACAAGAGCAATTAATAATTAAAACAGCTAAAATATTAATTAGAATTAATTGTAATTATTTTTAATTTCAATTATTATTATTTTTATTAATTAAAAATGAATTTAAATTCCTTTTGGACTTCCTCCTTTTCCCACTTGCCGTTTCGGCACTGGTCCACTACACCTGGGGTTTCACTTGTTTTCGTTTTTTCTCCTTTTTCTATCATTTTCGATTTTTTTTTAATTTTTAAATTCTTTTTTTGTTTTGATTCATTTGCTGCTTCATTTCAGTCCCAATTATCCTTAAAATGCTTCAAAAATGCTTCAAAAATGCCTCAAAAATGCCTCAAAGATGCTTCAAAAATGCTTCAAAAGTGCTTCAAAAATGCTTCACAAGTGCTTCAAAAGTGCTTCAAAGTGCCTCAAAAATGCCTCAGAATGGATTTCTTTCGATTCAGATTTTCGCAAAATTGTTTTGCCAATTTGCCCTTTCTGGGGGTCCCCCTAGTTCCTTCAAATGCCATTCTTTTTGCCATTTTTTGCCATTTTTCTGCCACTTTTTGCCATTTTTTTTAATTTTTTTGGCCTTTAACTTTCAAAATCCAAACTCAATTGACAGAAAAGCTCTCCTTCAAAGTTCCGCTTATTATTTGCCATTAATTTTTCTTTTTCGCCTTTTTTCGCCGCGAAGAGCTCTTTCGGCGTCGTTTCGAGCGCTTTTGCCCCCGAAAAAGGCCTTCTTTTCCCCTTTTAACTCAGTTAATTGTTTCTTTTTGATCAAAGAACTCAAAAGATTTAAAAACAGAAAAAAAGGACAAAAAAGGGACAAAAAAGGGACAAAAAAGGGACAAAAAAAGGACAAAAAAGGGACAAAAAAGCTCCAAAATTGGCGAAAAAGCGGCGCAAAAGTTTGAAAAATTGCGTTTGCGCAAGGACGCCCCTGTGGGGAGGTCGTTGCTGCGGCGCCACTTTTGCACTTTTTGGGACTTTTTCGGGGAATTAAAACGCCGGAAATAAATCTTTTGAAAGCAAATAAACCTTTTATTCTTACGCGCCTTCTCGTTGGCTTTTTTTTGAGGGTTTTGGCGCCGAAAACCGCCAATTAGAAGCCGAGAAATCGAAAAATGAAAAAAATACTCGCAGCCACTTTTCGGGCTTTTGCACGGATTCTTCATTTTTATTTCATTTTATTTTATTTTATTTTATTTTATTTTATTTTATTTTATTTTATTTTATTTTATTTTTTAAATTTTTTATTTAAATTAATATAATTTAATTGTTTAAATTAACATAATTTGTTTATTTAAATTAATATAATTTAACTATTTAAATTAATATAATTTGTTTTTTTACATTAGTATAATTTGTTTTTTAAATTAATATAATTTAATTATTTAATTATTTAAATTCATATTTTTATTGTTGAATTATTCAAGTATATGAGTTGATACTTTTTAGATCATTTAATTTTTTTAATTGATATTTTCAAATTAATTATTTCATTTGAATTTAATTAATACTCTTTTTACTATTTACTTTATTTTAATAAATACTTTTCAAATTGTTTAATTTATTTTATTTAATACTTTTAAACCATTATTTATTTATTTTATTTTATTTGCAATTTTTTAATTATTTAATTCAAAACTTTTAAAGCCAGTCAGTTCACTCCATTAAATACTTTTGGAGTTATTAAATGAAGTCTAATTATTTAATTGAAATAAATATTTTAAAATTATTTATTTAGTTTCATTTAGTACTTTTATATCTATTTAATTTATTTAATTTATTTAATTTATTTAATTAATTTAATTTAATTTAATGTTTTTCATATTTATTTATTTTATTTACTACTTTTAACATTATTTAATTGCAATTAACACTTTGAAAATAAATAAATCCTTTTTGGTACTTTTAAAATAATAAATAAATTTTATATTTTTGAACTAAATTTTAATTAATAGTTCATAATAAACACTTTTAATCCTTTAATTATTTAATTATAATTAAATTCTTTTGTTATAATTAAATTAATTATATAAATTGTTTTTATTATTTTCAATATTATAACTAAGAATTAAATTAAATAAAATATATATTTCTATATTTATAAAGTACCAAATATAATTAATTTAATAATTAAAAAAGTATTAAATATATTTAATTAAATCATTAAAAAGTTTCAAATACAACTACAGACTTTAGGGGCCCCCAAGGGTACTGGGGGGCCCCTAAAGTCCAAATTGGGGGCCCCTGGGGGCCCCCGGGGGCCCCCAATGTGCAATGGGGGGCCCCTGGGGGCCCCCACTGCAGCAGGGGGGCCCCCAAGGTTAAAAAGGGGGGCCCCCTAATGAAGGGGCCCCTTAGAAGCCCCTTAAAGGGGCCCCCAAATGGCACCTTTTAGGGGCCCCCGGGGGGCCCCCGGGGGCCAATTAGGGGCCCAAAAAGGGGCCCCTGGGGGCCCCTTGGGGGCCCCTTGGGGGCCCCTTAGGGGCCCCTTGGGGGCCCCTTGGGGGCCCCTTAGGGGCCCCTTGGGGCCCCCCTTTAAGCTCTTGGGGGCCCCCGAGGGTTTAGGGGTTTAGGCGTTTTGTTTGTGCTGCGCATTTTGGAGTGCTATTTGGGCAGCAGCAGCAGCAGCAGCAGCTGCTGTTGCTGCTGCTGTTGTTGCTGCTGCTGCTGTTGCTGCTGCTGCTGTTGCTGCTGCTGCTGCAGTAGTCGGGTCTTGTGCTGCTGCTGCTGTGGTTGATATTGTAAGGCTTCTGCTTCTGCTGCTACGGTTGGTGCTGCTGATGCTGCTGCTGTGGTTGGTGCTGCTGCTGCTGCTGCTGCTGCTGCTGCTGCTGCTGTGCTTGCTGTTGCTGCTGCAGTTTCTCCTGTTGCTGCTTCATCCGCTACTGCAGCTCATGCTGCTGCTGCTGCTTCATCTGCTGCCGCCGTTACGACTGCTGCTGCTGCTGCTGCTGCTGCTGCTGCTGCTGCTGCTCGCAGCAGGCGCTGTTGCTGCTGCTGCTGCTGCTGCACTGGCTGCTGCTGCTGCTTTTATTGACCTTTAATCTGCGTTTATTTCATCATTTGCTGCTCTCGCGCTGCTGGTGCTGCTGCAGCAGCTGCTGCTGCTGCCGCTCGAGTTGCTGCTGCAGCTGCTGCATCATTAGCTGCTGCTGCTGCAGCTCCTGCTGCAGCAGCAGCAGCTTAATGAGGCCCCAAGAAGCCAATTAAAACATAAAAAGATTTATAAATTCCTTTATTTGTTTATTTGCAACTGCAGCAGCAGCAGGGGGCCCCCCTGGGGGCCCCCTGCTGCTGCTGGGGGCCCCCTGGGGCTGGCTGAGGGGCCCCCCGTTTGTTTGAAGAAATCTGGGGAATTAAATTATTAAAAATTGAAATAAATATTCAAAAAAAGGGTTTAGAAAACCCTAAACCCTAAACCCCAAACCCTAAACCCTAGGCGGAGAGGGGTGAGGCTGAATATCGAGTTGCAGTCACGAAAGGGCAGGTGAGGGTTTAGGGTTTAGGGGCTAGGGTTTAGGGTTTAGGGTTTAGGGTTTGGGGTTTAGGGTTTATTTTCTTAATCTGACCCTTCTCTCTTTGGTGCTGCTTTTTCTTGTACAGCAGCAACAGCAG